CTTGTATGTAGATTCGTGTGCTAAGACAATGATATGACCAATTTTCAAAACTGAAGGGCTAAATAAACAAGGCAAGGAAGCAAGGTTTGTGAAGAAGATGGGAAATTGTGTATTTCTTAAGCTGTAAATTTGTGGGTTTTTTGCTTCTGTTAAGCACCAGATCTGTTTAGACTTAATCTTATGCCCACCTCCCAAAAAACTCTATGCTGTATGTCTTGCATAGAAATAAACAAGCTGGCACAAAACAGGACATCAGTGACCTGATAATCAAACAGGTTTGACCCTTGTGTCCTTACAAACTTTTATAAAAGTGTGATGCACATGTACTTAGGAATCACTGTTATGGATTTTAATAGCATCTATGTAGCTTCCCCTCAATGGTAGCTTCCCTCTTGTGACGGAGTGAGCTGCACTATCGTTCGTTTGGAAAGTGTGATTCTTGCTGTGTTTACCACACTTGTGAACTCTATTTAAACTCCTTTGTCGCCTGTGTTGGTTTTTTTTCTTATTTTTAATAAGGGTGACTGAGGTTGCAGAGAAATTAATGTGTGCTGAGTCTGCATAGCAACTTAAGTAGGGTTGCCACAGTACACTCCCCTGCTCCCTGCAAAGTCTTTACATAAAGTCAGGGTTCAGCCATTTTCTTGCCTTATTGGCTATTGTCAAACTCATTATAGTGATACTGTCAAACTGCTCAGTTACTACTAATAAAAGCATTGCAGGAAATAATTTTACTAAGAGTCAAGAAGTTAAGAGAGAAGCAGGGTAATAAAAATTACTTACAGGTGATTTGAAAAACCAGTACTGCAATTTTCCAGATGAAATAATCAAGCTTAGTTCTTCAGAGTTGTCCTAAAACTGACATCAGTAATGCTGGCCCTTCTGAAGACTTTCATGGCATTAAAGACACTATCCTGAAGCAACACTGAACACTCTGATTCAATTCAGCTATAATGCTGTGCTTTGGAGCGATGCATCTCTTCGGGCCAGTGAGCTGACAATTGGCCCATTGAGTCTAGTTATTGTGGCAACCCTATGCACATAACAACAACTAAATTGAGTTTGTTTTAGTTCGGACTGTGGATATGACGCTTAGGCGCTGACTCGCGTACCAACTTCAACTCCCTCTCCCATCTTTCAACAGGATACCCGCTCACTATGTCTATCCACAGGCTTTTGTGCAGCCCGGAGTGGTAATTCCCCACGTCCAGCCTGCAGCAGCCGCTGCTTCCACTACGCCCTACATCGATTACACCGGAGCTGCATATGCCCAGTACTCGGCCGCCGCAGCCGCCTATGAGCAGTACCCATACGCTGCCTCTCCGGCTGCCGCTGCTGGATACGTGGCAGCGGGGGGCTATGGCTACGCGGTGCAGCAGCCCATCACTGCGGCAGCGCCCGGGACCGCCGCGGCAGCCGCCGCGGCTTTTGGCCAGTACCAGCCCCAACAGCTGCAGACAGACCGCATGCAATAGCAGATGGACTCCTGAATGAAGCTTGCTCTTTCTCTTCCGCTCTTCAGCCTTCCAGTATAAGTAGTTAACAGAGACAATTGATATTAACTAAAGGAGCTTTAAGGAAAGCGATGCTATTGCGAGACTAAAGACTTTTATTCCACAGTTTTCATACAGTATGCATCCAAATCATGTTGTTAGAGGGGACGGGTAGTGCAGCATGTCTAGTTTCAAGTATCAAGGCAGAAGAAAATGGGGAGGAAAAATACTGTACTGTCATGGAAGACTGGCAGGAGTAGCAATGGGACTTCATATTTTCAAACAAACAAACAAGAACCAAAAAAAGCAAAGGTGTACTCTTTACAGTATCAGGGAAGCAAAACTGCCTTTTATAAGTAAGAAAATGGTATTTGAAAAGTTTGAACCAGGGAAAAAAACTGAGTCAGCAATATGTAATCTCTATCCATTTTAAGAGGAAACGAACTTAAAGCATTGATTGTCCTTTCTAGCTTTCAAAAGTTGTCTTCGTGAGATAGTACCTTCTCACTGTCTCACTCACAGGCATCAAACAACCCAAGGAAGATGGCCGGATAGTAAGATGGCGGACAGGCACCAAAGTTATTTTCTTCTCTGTCCTCTGGATGAGTGGAACTATGGAGCAAGTGATGTGGAAGTAAGGGGTGCAACAGCTGTAGAGACAATCAATAACACAGACAGTTCTGGACAGAACACATCACTCGTGCTCATGTGATGAGCTTGTCACATCCTAATCCCTCGCCCCATCCCGTTTCACTTTTGGGAAACTTTAACTGCTGGTGTCAGCTATTCTGATTCTAAAATAGGATCAGCCCTTTTACTACAACAGCCTTCTCTTTCTGTTTATTGCATCTATTCGTAACTTGTGAATAAAGGCAAGAAGAAGCCTAAAGAATTAAAACCTTTAAGAACTGTTGTAAGGGAATTTTCTTTTCTGAAACCATTTGTACAATTTTAATATCTATTTCAGGATTATATTTAAAATATTTATTAGCAAACATACAGTACACAAGGCGACTTTTTGTTACCAAGACTGCAGTTCTTGAAGGGTTACTGGTATGTGATTTATACTGTGCCTTAATTGTTATGCTATTTAAAAAGAAATATTTATTTTGAAAGTTTTACTATGCTGCGCTCTGAAGAAAGCGACTTTAGATGTGACACTGTAAAATTATGTATTCATCTCATGGTATAAATTATTTAGTAGGCTTAGATGTAGCATATTAAATATTAACCTAATTAACTAAGGATGTTGACTTGGATTTATTTAATTTCAGTATGTGCACTGTATGAGGGTACTCTTAAATTAACACTTTTTTAGGTTTTTACATAAAACATTGCTAGTTCATTCTTTTTCCCTCTACTAGTTAATTCATGTAGACCTCTCAAATACATTAGTGCCGTTTTTTCACTCATCTGTATGTAGACTGACTATTTTTCCCTTTGCTAGAAAATGCTGCTTTACATTGTCCTGTGAAACTACAATACTTGCAATTTTTATTCTTGACTGAAATGGAATTTAATATTTTACACTGTATTGGATTTTTTTTATACTTGAACAATTTCATACAAGGGAAGACAGGATAGCATTTTTATGGACTTTATCCATTGTCACTGGATTTATTTGAAGTATTCTGAATACTAGCCAGTGTTATAATGTAGAGATGACTCTCCTGTGCATATTATTTATTCAGTATGTATATTGCTTTACAACATTTCAGATCTCTTAATCTATTCACTCGTACTAAAACAATAAAAAAAATTGTCTCATCTTGTCTAGTGTTGTTCTTGCTCAAATAGTCTTAGATCTTGTTTAGTTAAAACTCGGGGGGGCAACCTTTTATGTAGTTTTCCTGGTCTGTGGGATGAATGGCAGCATATACACGGACTTCAAATACATAGATTGATAGGAACTGTGTTACATGGAGGAAATTCTACAAAGAAGATGGAGAAGATCCATCCTGAGAGTTACCATAAAATAATTCAGAATGGAAGGGACTTTGGGGGGGTCCCAGGTTGCTTATGTCATTATCCAGTCAGGTCTTAAAATCCCCCATGTGGGGACTGCACAACCCCTCCGGGTAATCTGTTCCACTACCTAATTATTCCCAAAGTGTAGGTTTTTTTCCCCTCTTCTATCTAGCCAGCACCTCCCCTGTTCATTTATAGCCTTCGTCTCTCATTCTTTGGCAGAGAGCCCAGCCCTGTCTTCTCAGTAACCTCCTCTTAGGAACTGGAAAATTGCTGTTCTCTTCCATAGGCTGAATAAACCCCAGTGCCTCAGCCTCTCCTCACAATTCTCATGCTTCAACCTCCAGCCATCCTGCTGACCCTCCAATGGAATTGTTCACATTTATCAGCAGCTTTCACGTACTGGGAGACTCAAGACAGAACCCACTATGCCAGCTGTGGTCTAATGAGTGCTGAGTAAAACAGAATAATCAATTCCCTTGATCTGCCATCTGTTCTCCTGTTGATCCAGTCTGATGCACTTTCACTGGTGCTAGAGTTTACCATTGACTCCTGTTCAGCCTGCCCCAAGCCTCCCTTGTCCTTTTTAGCTTGCTAACCAAGCCCTGGGGGTCAGTCCATCTGTGATAAAGAACTTTCTATTTGTCCTGACTGAATTTCATGATGATCCTGTTGACCTAGTCCTCTGGCAGGTGTAAATCCCTCTGAATGGCAGATCTGGCCTCGAGTATATCAAGCCTACCCTCCATTAAGTATAATGACAGTACTGCATCCTATCTCTTCCTCCAAGTCATTGATAAAGGTATCAGACCAGACAGACCCACAGGGAACACTGTAACCAGCCTCTGGACAGAGCATAAGCCCTTTGAACCAATGATTCAGTTAGTTTTTTGCCAAACTGGACTGGACCATCTGAAACTGGATACAAGGATTCTGTGAGAGACTACATGGAAAGCCTTGCTAAACTTAAGGTAGACAACAGTGTCTCCTTTCCCCTCCTTGAGAGATGAAGTCACCTCATCACAATAGGCAATTAAGTTGGTCTGGCATTATTTACCTTTGTAAATCCATGCTGGCTGTTCCCAATCACCACCACCTCCTTCACATGGCCAGAAATTTCTGCCAAGATTGCTCACTCCATCATTGTTTGGTAGGTTGCTAGATTGTCCTTCACACACTTTCTGAAGGTGGGTACATCATCTGCCTTTCTGCAGTCACGGAAGACCTCCCCAATCTCCATGACCTTTCAGAGATGATAGTGAGCAGCCTCAGAATGACAACACCCTTGGGTGCAGCCCATCAGGTCCGTATGTGGAATGAGCTTCTTCAAGAGGTGCCTGAATCAATCCCCTTCCACACCTGACAGGTTGTTTTGTCCTTGAACCCTTCCTACAATCATAAAGTAGTGTTACTAAAAACCTAACGGTCACGATACCTTTCTGCATATAGTACTTGAACTGGGAAGCATTGAAGTAGCTGCTCAGATCCAGCGGATGATGGTTTTGTAACCTTTAGGACTAGTTAACATTTCAGTATCAGTCCAGGCCACTAATGACCAAAAGCAACTGCTACCTGATGTCTGAAAGAAGCCTGTGTGAAATACATGACAGTCTTGGCCAGTTCTTTGAGGAATGGGAGGATGTTTATATAATCTTCATACTGAAATTTATAACTGCAGCTGTCACTCTTGCAGTGACTTCAGCAGAAGCACAGGCTTGACTGCAAAATTCGAGCTGTTCTTTCATCCTCAAAAAGGGTCTTTTTTTCATCTGCAAAAGAGGCAGCAGTGAAATTGAAATGATAGAAAAGATTTTTCCTGGTCTTAGGGTCTCAATTCATTTCACTGTAGACAATTATGAAACTCAGTTGCCCAGAACTGGTACACTCACTAACATCCTGGGCTGATGCTGTCATGTTCTGTTCTGAATGAGTGCTTAAAGCCTGGCTGCTGAGAAGTGTTGCTGAACTGCCTTTTGCAACCTGACCTTAAGATCTGTGACCTTGCAGAGAGCACTGTAGTGCTCTCGCTGCTAAGAAATGTGTAAACAGCCAGCAGGGAGGTGAGTAGAAAACAACAAACGCTGTTTTTTGCTCTGTTCTATTTCCCTACTCTGGTCTTGCTCCAAGGGGTTTGCCTACAAGACATGGTATCAAGTAGGAATTAAAACCAAAAGTCCATTTGAGAGGAAGGCAGAGCACAGTGATGGTACACTAACCTTTTATTTGATATAGGATGAAGAAAGCATCTTCTTCCTACTGATATACACCCCTGACAATGTCCTTGGGGCTTCTCTTACCTCCATCTGGAGGTAACAGACACCCCAGGGGAGGGTATGAAGGGGAATGCTTGCTGCCCTGGAGGGGTCTGTGTTGTGGTAAGCCATAATGGGAACAGAATAAAAGTTTATGACTTAGTTTATAAAGGTCTGTTGCATGCTGGCTCTATAACCTGACAGAATGAGTAACATCAGCAAAAATGTGAATGTGCAAGCTCCACTAGCAAACCTAGCTTTAGGCATACAACACGAACACTAACTCTTCTTTTTGACAAATGAGTAGCTGAACAGACCTTCATACATAAAATACACCTTCGTAACATCTCACATACATGAAATACCAATAATTCATATTATCAGGACCAAAATAAAACAACTGAGAAATATCAGCATCCAATTGTGATATACCTGAATATTCAGAGAAAATGTTATCATTTTACTTGAGAGATGGCATATATGCAAGCAGCAAGAAAATATCCACAATACAATTTCCAGTTCTGTTTCCAAAACCTTCAGAAGAGATTTTATACTGAAAAGTGACCAGTGCTGAGTTCCTTACAGAGGGAGGGAGAAGACAAAACAAGGAACCATTGCTAAGGAATGTGTAGACTGAAAAGGGTGTAATACCTTGAAAGGTTACATTGATGACTTGTATGCCAGAATTGTGATTTTTCATTATATTTGTATTTTCCTACTAACTATAGAACATAACTTGGCAGTACTAGAGTTCATTGATTCTAATTTTTCTTGGATTTTTCAAACATGTAAAAGGACTATATTAGGATTAAAATAATGATGCAAGCACTTAAAGCACCTCTTAGTCTTTTTCAGCAGATGCTGAGCCATTTTAAATGAGCAATTCCCTAGTTATGCTCAAAACCTTGTGAGAAAAAGCATTGCATTCTGAACCAAGAGCCTGCACGTGTTATTGAATTGTCTTCTGTATAATTTCAATTTATTTTCCAAGTTTTTGTTATAAATAAACATGTAAGCAGTGTATTCAGATTGCCATGCAACTTTTGTGTTTGAACTTCAAACTATTAGGTTATACTCCCTCAAACTAGCAATAAAGCAGGCTCTGGGCAAAATCTAACTGTAAAAATCTCAGGCACTTAGGATATTTTTAATGAAAATATTATGAGCAAGTAAAAACTGAGGAGTATAACAGAATTTGACCTTGTAATTATCACCAAAATGTGAATGGGAAGAATGGAAAAATACCAGAAAAGGAACACCACTCAGCCTTACAATACATTTAATATTACAGCTTATTGACTAGTGAGATTACCTTGCAGGAGCTATCCAATAAGTTTACATCCAGCCATTTTTTGTTCATCCCTGAAAACAATGGTGAAATACTCTTTTAAGCTGGTTTATTACATTCATGCCACCATATTACTGGGCATAATGATCCTAAGCAACAGATTCAAGATACTATCATATACTTCATTTAGGAAAACCAGGAAAACCATAAAACCAAGAAAACACCAGACAGTAGCAGTAATTAAAGATTTTTGAGGACTTTGAAAATAGTATGGTTATGTGTGAATTCAAAAAATGTTTGTTATGACTGATAGTTGGGCTTTGGGGGCTTGTTTGCAGATACTTTTTTCCTCCGAAGCTCAATGTAAAATTATGAGAAAAAATAAGCTTCACATAGTGTCAAAGAATAAGGAGAAAATAGATATGACTTGACTGTGTTCAAACCTACAGATGTGGACATAAAACAGCCATCAGCTTTTCTCAACATAAAGGAAATTGTCTTTGGAATATTTGCCAATTTCACGTGCCGACTTTGCTGAGATAAGCCATGAATTCAGACTAGCTTATTCTATCATTATTTTTGACCTAAACAGTCTGGGAATAGGGAGGAACCCACCGAAGTCTGTTTCATCATTAAGTATCTGAGAGTCAAAAGATGCTATCCAAATTCATTGGTGAGAGGTCTCTGAGATTAATATATAATCTTTAGCTCAGTACCCTTGTGTTAATCTTTGGACTAGACTTCACTGTGCCTGCTGCTTCTTTTCCCTTCTCTAGATGTGGCTATTGTGGGTGATGTGCCCCCACTTCTATACAGGGCAGAGGCTCTTGCAGGTGTCAACTCATTTCCTACTTACGACTTAAACTGGGTAAGAGAAGAAAACCCCACAGTCTTTCAGCCTAAAATTTATGAAATCTGCAAAAGTCTTTACAAAAGAGCTCTTTCCATCTGCAGGTCACCTTCTTCTGAGTATGTCGACTCCATTTGAACCAGAAAAAAAGATGTCAAAATATCAAAACTGACAGAGGTAGGTCACAAGCAAAGCTCAGTGAATCCATCACCTGTCATTAGGCTGTTAAAAATGTTTTGTCACTGCACTTGCAAGGACATAAGTTGATCTTTACCACATACTTGAAGAACAAAACACATTTTTATCCAGCAATGCAGGCAAGGGATTTTGCCACCCTGTGAAAAACTTGTACTTTTTGTTGTTGGTGTTGTTGGGATTTGTAGTGATGACAAAAATAAGCTAAAGTTTAAAATCCTGCAGTAAACAAAATTGTCTCCCAGAAAAAAAAAATTGGATAATTTTTAAAACATTTTGTGGTTTAATTATTTAAAAAAAACTATTTTAAAAAATCATAAAATGTTTAAAAGCAAAATATCGTTGCATTTACAAGTACCAGAGCAGATTGTTCTTATTTTTTCCTGACAAGAACCATTACAATTGAATGGCTTTCAACAGAAACATGTTAGTGCATTTTCCAGCTGCTTCAAAGGAAGGACTGATTACTTGCTCAAGGCTGTGGATACCATGATGTTGCCAAAAATTGGGATTCCCTGACTATTTGTTCAAACCGCTGGAATTCATCTGCTAATTTGTTCACTGGTAATATTTCTGAATGAAGACAGAAATAATGAAAGCCTAGAGGAAAATCTTATTTTCACCGAAGGTAGTCAGACAATTTAGGAATCATAGAATTGTTTAGGTTAGGAAAAGATCTTAAAGTCATCAAGTTTAGCTGTACTGTTTTATGTGGATAAGTAAATGGGCAAGAACAACCCAAGCATAACCAAGCTGAACCACTAGCTTTGTTTCAAGGTATGGCCAAAGCTTTTTGAAGTGATGGACAGTCCCAATTATGAGGTAATTTCTTCATCATACTAGCAACGAAGAACCTTAAAAGTGGGCTGCTCTCTTTGTCCAGTATACTCTCTTCCTAGCCTTGGAAGATGGGAAGTAGTACATTAGTGCAATAAGGAATGTTCACAATTTCTTTTTTAATTACAGTTACAGAGTAGTGTGCATTCCTTTATATGAATTTATGTTATGAACATTGTTTAAGGAAAATCTGTTCTTCATAAACTAAGTCTTATGTATCACAGCGTGCAAGTTCATGCATTATTCTTTCTTGATTTTCATCAATATTGGCTTTTTTTTCCATTAGAGAACTACTTTATCAAGGAAACTCTTTTCTCATTTTCTGTAAGATGAATCCTTTCACTAACCTGAGTGCCGTCATCATTTATACTGGTTTTCGTGTAAGAGAGAGTAAAGAGATCTCCAGGCTTTACTCTTCTGCAAATGTCACCAGTTTCATGTACACTACTGTGTCTTGAAACTGGTTTTCCTCTGACCTTATCAAGAATAGCAATTCTCCTGTCTATTCTAACGACACCTGGGATCTTGCCAAAAGAAATCAGAATCTAACTTAAAGCTCTGAGAACTGTGCCTGAGTGTGGAAACAGAAGCGTGCCCACCAGCCTTCAGAGGGCTGGTGTCAGATGGAGCTGCCCCTGACATGGCTGCAGGAGCTCAGGTAAGCGGGCGCCTGAGAAGGGCACACCACAGTTGAAAGGCTTTCTTTGCGCGAATGCATCGATTTGGCTTAATAAAGGCTAGTCAAAGGGCAAACAAAACAGCAATGTAGCATCTTTCTGGGAAAGAAGGCCTTGGTGGCCACTGGAATTTCAATGCATGAAGCTGGCTTCAAAGATCCTGTGTCTTGTCATCAATATAATGCAAACCATATGGAGCGCCTTGGCCTGATCCCGACAGTGGGACTAGTGCTTGCCAGCAGTTCTCTAAGAATACAGGTTGGCAGAGATACAAACAGTGTGTGGAGGAACCTCAAGGAATCTGGCTTTCCTAAAAGCAGGGAATGGTAGTATTAGGGAGAAGTAGGCACTGTCTCTATTGGATTTCAAGATATAGTTTATTTGAAATGCAGCTATGCTGTATTAATGATCTTTGTTTCAGCAAGACAGCTTGGTTGCTAACTGCAGAGAGAACAAAATAGCAAGCTTTGAACACAATCAAGATAAGCTTGATATCCAGCCAGGGCCCAGACTGTAAATAGATCTGCATGAATATTTCCCGAGAGAACTGCTGGAGGCCAGAGAGGTTTGCTCCGAAGAGGTGAGAAATACAGTCTGCTCGGTGGTACTGGAAGTGCCACTACTTGCAAACATCAAAATATTTCCATGGATTCTCAATATTTATTGTGCTATTTAATGTGATTATCAGGATGGTACAATTGTCTGGAGTTTAAATGCTAAGAGGAGATATTCCAGGTCTTAACTGGCTGAGAACGACGGTAGTTATTGCCCATTTGGTGACCCCTAAGGACAAAATATATATATGCCAACATGAAAACAAATTGTTTCTCAGTGGGATGTTTTTCAGTCTAAGCATTGTTACCTGCAAAGTCTCAGGTTCTATCAGTCATAGAGGTAAAAGATTAAGTGATAGTAATTGACTTTTAATTCCTAATTCAGCAATGAGCTCAAGAAAAGAACTATTTTACTGCACTGTTCCGTGATCCTGGTACTCAGGATTACGTGTATTTGCAAGACCATTTGGCTACCCCAGAGTACAACTCATTAAAGCCTTGTTGTACAGCAGAACAAGCTGCATATAAACCCTCTGAGCAGCACTGTGTTCTGCCAGGCATTGACTTGCTCGGACATCTGTGTGGGTTTAGTGGAAGGACAATTCTGCTGTTCAATGTGACATGCTAGAAAGAAGAAAGGGGCAGGAACATGTTCATGTTTATGATGAACTTTGGGTCTTCTTCTGATAATGACTTAGTGTAGAGAAAAGGAGGGGGAAAAGAATTATTCAAGCGATGTTCAGTTGATTTCCCAGAGTTTGAACCAAACTACCAGTGGTGAAATTTCTCATGTTGTTCTCATTCTTGAGGAGGGGTAGAAAGCGCTGCATCTCAGGACTGTTTGAGAAACAGTAAGTTTTGAATAAGGTCACTCAAAGAGCATCACATCAGGGACCCATACCAACTACAAATGGAAGTATCACACTCCATTTAAATGGAGCTGCCTAAGCACATCTCTAGTTTGTAGATTTCGTAGCAGCTCATCTGTATTTATAGGTGCATGTGCTGATGTAGGAGGTCCTACAAATTCAATCTCTCCACCACTGCCTCATTTTAACTAAAAATATAACAGACCAAGGCATTCTTCTTTCTGCAACTGAAATCCTCCTTCTTTCTTAAGGTTTACAGCTACATGAATCTGGGCAGCTTTCTTGGGGGGAAATTCTCCTGAGTCACAAGGTGGTGCAAAGCCACTGACAAAGACCTTCTCAGGCTACAGGCTGAAAAGCAGGATGTGTAGAAGGCAGAGTTATTTCAACTATCAAAGGCAATGCATTGGAAAAAAACAATTGGACAGTGCCTCCCCCATTATTTCTCAAATCCACTATCTCACTTCTTTTCAGATAAGTGCACCTGCACTCATTTCTCATAAAGCTGTGGGTTTTTTTAAAGCATAGGCCATCTGTATTTACACCAGAATGTAGAATAATAAATTGCTTAGTCTACTGCTAATCATGGATAAAATGAAAAAGGGAAGATGAAATTTCTTATTCTAAGAGAAAAATTTACATAAGCATAGAAAGTGCAACACTACATCTTATACTTGCAGAATTTCCTGCAAGTTTATGCTTCTGTTTAATTGTTCCTGTTTGGGGTATATCATATCAGAGGCTTCCAAAACAATAGATCTTATTTTAAAAGACGCAAAGGCTTTCAGGTGACTGAGAATTTCACTTAAATGCTTTCTTCAGAAACAATTCATTTGCACCATGAACATTTCTTCTCATTCAGTCCAAGTATTTTTCCCTACCCCAGATAAGCAAAACTTTCCCTGGTAAAGGGAAGGTGCTACCTGTGCTTTCTGTCTCATTTAGTATTTTATCAGACTAGATTGTAAATCTTTTGACCTGACCCTATTATTTTCCTTATTTAAAATATTTATTATAGGCTACATATGGAATTATATTTTAGCAATCATAAGTGGTAATCATTTCTTTCAAAAAATGATCCATATATTTTAT